TTGGTTGGTTGGTTGGTTGGTTGGTTGGTTGGTTGGTTGGTTGTTTGGTTGGTTGGTTGGTTGGTTGGTTGGTTGGTTGGTTGGTTGGTTGGTTGGTTGGTTGGTTGGTTGGTTGGCTGGTTGGATGGTTGGTTGGATGGTTGGTTGGTTGATTGGTTAATGGGCTGATTGGTTGATAGATTAGATAGCTAGGTAGGTAGCTAGGTAGGTAGATAAGTCGGTAGACAGATAGACTTATTCGTGGGTTGATACATAGATAGGTACATAGACAAGTACATTGATAGACACATAGGTAGACACATAGATAGATGCAGCTATAGATACATAAATATCTGTAGGTACAGAGATAGATAATGGCCACCTGCCGCTCCCAGTCCAAAGAATTGGAACTCGCACCCAGACCCTCAGATGTCCGACGGCTGCGGGTTTCAGGGGGTGTAAGCCTCGGGATTTACTAATTCTAACTTGGGCATACATGTCGGTTCTACGCATAAGCATGTAGTTCTGATGATTAACATGCAAGATTCGAGATGTTTTAGAGGCCGTAGGGCCAGAAAAGGAGTGGCCAAGTTTGATGATTCAATTGGCTGCGACCCTGTACCCGAAGCCCTAACACTCAACTGCGGACACTGGCCCGACCTTCACCAGCTCTTCTGAACTAAAATGTTGGGGCTGGCTATGCTCTACCAAATGTTCAGATTTTCAATTGCCTGACAGGGCGAGGGTTTCTGAGCTTGGAGCCCTCATTGGATTTCCGTTCTCTGAGGCTCCGGGTTGAGCACTTCTGTACATGTGCATATTTTATTCGGATGTATTTCGAATTATCACGGTCTGTACCTCTTGCTTTCACGACACACTATTTCGATATGTCTCATGAAACGCACCTTGAGCTGTAAGGCAAGGCGTTTTAGGTGAAGTGCGGCAACCACTTCCCCTGCCGCGAAGCCTCATACCACAAGATGGAACCACTGCACGAAAACTCCGCATGAAAACACGAAGTGCACTCGTGAACAGAAATCGTCGTCATCCTGGGCCCTAAGCCCTGATCCCTGAATCCCTGAACCCTTAACCCTAAACCCCTGGTCCCTGATTAAACCTGCAACATGGTACGGGAGCTTCTGGTCCGAGGAGTTCAGCCTCGTGGGTTTCCGAAAGTCGGTTCCCTCTCATAGCTACAGGATCCTGCGCTTTGGGTCCGTATTCTGAGTACCTGTTCTGGGCACCCTATAATGCAGAGGGTTCTACTTCATCCAAGTCCCGTTCCTGCATGCAGCGGGAACCCGAAACCCCACGTGCGTCGGTCCGAAGCCCCAAATGCTGGATGTAGCCGAGGCACACTGTCTGTGTCAATGCGCGTACGCGGGGGTGCTGCGCATGAGCCGAAACAGCACCGGTGCATGCTCGGAGCTTGCCAGCATGATCCGAAGATGAGGCGGCTTGTATGCAGACCTTGAATTCCAACTCGCTTGCGGGCTTTTGGATTGTGGGACAATCATGCAGGGCTGCATTAAACTGTGGTAGCTTTGAATGTTTATCTGAGCAGTATATGCGTGAGACCACTCTGGAACAGTGCACGGAATCACATCTCCATGTTAGATTAGAACAGCATGACATATATGACTATGCAATGATTGCAAGCGCGACAGCAATCATACTGATGGTAAAATGAGTAACACCAATGACGGCAATAATAGAAGTACGTGTAGTACGGGAAAATGATGGTGACGGATAAGCAAAGCATACTAGCAGTCGCAAAAGCACAGTATTCACACCTGTCACACAAAAACCGAAACAATGACTTGAACAATGACATTATGACAATAAGATCAATGACGTCATAGTGGCTATAGCCACAAGTAGCAAGTGTAATCATAACAGCCGTCCTTTGATACAGTGACAAAGCTAAAGTCTCTGAAGAAGAAGAAGAAGCGATCTGAGGATGTCCTTGAGTTCGCGCTTGCGCTGGGCCTTCTCTGCCTTCTTCTCCTGAGCAGTTGGGCTTAGGACTTACGCTGTAGGGGTCTAGGACTTAGGGTATCGGGGTTCAGGGGTTTGGGAGTTTGGGGGTTAAGGGTTTAGGGCATTGGGTCTTGGGTTTAGGGTGGACTTCGGGTTGAGGGGTTTATGTGGAGGCATCAGGGTGTATTCTGGGGTTTATGGCTCATCAGGGTTTTGGGTGCTGATGAGGTTTCTGAGTTGTAGGCTCTGATCAGGTGCTTCGTGCATCTTCAAGATGCTATATGCCTGTAACCGGCATTGTCACCCTTACCTATAATGCTTGCAAGTGATGTAGTCCGTTTAGGATCTGCCAAGTTTTGATTTTGCGGGCCATCCACAACGCACAACTGGGCAGCTAAGTTAAGCGTAATGGTGCAGTCCGCCACGGCAGCGCCAGACCTAAGCCGGCTTTCGGCCCCCACCCAAACAAAACCCCCACCCTTTCAAGAGCATGTAACAGTACTTTGCAACGCCTGAAAAAGACCGTAGAAACTCCTTCAGCGTCGGGGAAAGGCATTGTAGAAGCCCGGGGAGCGAACCCCTTTGCCTGTAGCTCAACCCTTCAAACCCATCCGGCAGTCCAGCTAATCCCTCAGTCCTCAGGAGAGACACGTGTTCCAAAAGCACTTGCAAACACTCAAAGCACACATTTAACATAGGGTGCAAGTTTTAGTCCTAAGCCGTATGTAAACATCCACAGCTCTACTGTATATCAACATAAATCTTGTTGCCCAAGATTAAAGCCCAGCAACTCCTCTAAACCTGGGGTCCTTCAGACCTCAACTCTTCTGAGTTGTGAACTCTAAACCCAATCCACTCCTTCTTGTCTTTGGTCTTCTTGACCTTGTCCTGGATGGAACCGGGCCTCACTGGGGTTGAAGTCGTCGGTTTCGGCGATGGGGGTTGGAGTGAGGCCTTGAAATTCAGAGGGTTGAACCTGCCCGGATGACTGCAGCAACTACGGAATTTGAGCTCAGAAGCACTGCCTGCCTGCGTACTCTTTGAACTTCCCACCAGGGAATGGAATCGCGTGTTCCGCCGCGGGTTCAGGGCTTCAGGCTTTTTGACTGGAGAAGTTTGTCGATGAAGTGCCACATTGACAAGCTGCCATTGCACGTTCGGCTCGAATCCCACAAGGCAGGCCCAGAAACTACTTCATGGGCCGACCAGCCATTTCGGGCTTCGGGTTTTGAACCCCTGAGGTTTCATCAAAGCTTGAACTCCAAACTTTGTCCAACCATTGACCACCAAGACCCTGAATTTCGGCGTTGAACGTTTGGTGCAGACCCTTGATTATCCAACCGGCCTCACTCCAAGGTCTGCAATAGGATTTAGGCACCACTTGTAATCCAGGCATGGGCATGTACAGCCCGCGCCTGAGCTTCGGAAGAAGCCAGTCCAGCGTCTAAAAAACAACTGGAAGCTTCGAAATCCCGAACTGGACCCCTGCGCCAAAGCCCGAATCCTTCAAGCCGTCAAGTCGTCAAGCCTGTCGTCAAGCCTTCAAAGCCTACCTCAACCCTTCTAGAGGGCCTGAAGGCCTCAAGCCGGAAACCCCATCATGAAGTACCTACACCCTAAAATTAACTCCGAACCTCGCCGAAACCGAGGCCGAGCCCCGGGCCCGGCGCTTTGGCCGGTGTCACAGGGAGATGCAGCTGCAACCGAAGCGCCGGGGCCTGGGTTCAGAATCTATCAGGTTCCGGATTGTGAAAAAAATACTGTACTAGAATATAAAAAGGTACCGGATAGTAAAGATACGTTTCAGGGCCTGGGTGTGTCCGGGACAGCCACAGCAGCTGGCCGCCGGGCTGGCCTCCCAGCTGCACGTTTTGTGTCCTCTACGTGCGTATGTATACATATACGCTGCATATACACAAACACACGCACACACAGATATATATATATATAGATAGATATATATATATATAGATAGATATATATATATATATATACATATACATATAAGAATATATATATATATATATTTTATATATATATATATAT